CTGACCATCTGGGAGGAGGTCAAACGCTCGATGGCGCCAGGTACGCCGGAGGGGCGGCGCTCCTGCCCTCGCTCGCCGGTCGCAGATGTCTCGCATGAAGATGCTAGTGAACGTTTGCTCTGGTGTTTGTCTGGCTCCGTTTCAAGGGCTTACCAGGTACGGGATTGGCTGGCTAATGCTTTCGAAGCCCATCGGGCCCTGTGCCGCCCGGCTGTCTCACGCTGTAAGGTGACCCAGTGCTAACACAGTCCAGTTTTCCTGTCCGCGGTAACGCTATTTCCAACCTAGCTAACGCTGCGTTTAACTATGTTTTTAGTTTTTCAGGCAATCTCGTCGGTATGGGGTGTGGGGAGGAAAGGGCGTAATGGCAACACTGTATTGTATGTTATTTGATCTGACTGTCTTGTATGGCGTTGTGATACCGGCGCGTCCGATGTTGACTCACACATTTGTTTATTGTACCCGTCGCAATGACATAGATGTGTCGAAAAGACAGTAGGATGTGGGGGTAAGGGAAAGATAGTAAGGAATAGGGGCTTAGACTTAGGTAAGTTAGAGTTTAGGATAAGTATGTGCGACCACGATCACCTCATCTACAGCCGCGAAGGTGGTGGGTCGAAAGGGTTCGCAAAGATACAGTTTGCCAGGTCAGAAAATGATACAATTAAAACAGGATGCATCAGATTGGCTGCGTGAGATTGTTCCGTCGTTTTCGTTACGCTGCCATCGTTGTATTATAGGTACTTTGCCTTCATCTGGGTGCCTTCGATTCCTTATCTGGGTTTGTATGAATACAGTAGCATTTCGTTGGGGTCCAAGTCTTCATTCTTCAATTGGAACCATCTGGATTCAAAACAATCTACATGCGCCAGAATTAGAATTAGAAGCTACGTGCGCTGCAAATTAGCATACTATACGGGACAAGCACACGACGAAACATTGCTTTGTTTTGTATGAAGTACTTTGTTTACTCAATGGATCGTGGAGCTACGACTACATTTAACAGCAATTACTCCGATTTGAACTGAATATCAATTAAGTGATGCTAACTGGGCTGCTGCTGAAGGTCCTGGTCGGCTGTTCAGTGAGTGGACGTTACGGCCTTTGTAAGCCGTGAAAGAGGGTGGCACTGGTTTCCATTGGCTAGTCCATGGCACTGGTTTCCACTCCACTCCATTCCACTTCCTCGCATGACCGTCTGCGGTTTGCGCGCGCTCCCGACTCTGTGTGGCGCCCGTGATTACGCTCGCTATGGGGTCAGTGGAACGCATGGTGGGCGAGGACATGACCGCTCGCTGTCATGTCCATCCTGTTGTTGGGTGTCCATTAAAAAAGATTTAAACTGCTGTTGTCATTTGGGCGCGAAATGACCGTTGCAGTCGTTGCGCCCTAAAGCATCAATAAACGACAGCTCATAGCTGTAGTGCTCGCGACGTTTTCCGATAATTGCCACGCCTGACTGTGGAATATGTGGTCGTGAAACTGAGCTCGACTATTTTGGTGCCCATTGCTATGAAATACTTCGTTTCAAATTACTAAACCAGAAGTAGTTTTGAATAATAGATAACGCGCTGAGATTGGTAAGAGGTGGTGCCTCGCAGCCAGCGATAGGCTGTTTCTCAGCTGGCGGGTGCAGTTTCCACCTCGTTTCCCTTGTCGCCTGCGATGCTCCACCCGCGCCTGAACCTTAAGCGCCGTGTCTTGCTGCAAATCCGGAGCGCCGCGGCTGGAACTCCAATGAAGAGGGATGCCTCTCCTCTAAGCCTCTGTGACTAGCTGCTAATGCATACGGATGGTCTTCTGCATAATAAACAACGGCCCAAATACATAATAAGCTTATTCAAAGGCCAGGCGGACCAAGCTGGAGCTGTTATTCGAACGCACCTGTCCAGGAATTTCAAGCGTGAAGTGCCAAATGGGTGACCGCTGCCTGAGATATGAACAGCGCTCCGCCTGAGCTGCCGAATTAGAGCGGCGGCGGCCGCGGCACTCATGGCTCCTGCGTCGGTGATTTCGCGTCTGACATTTTCAGCGTAGACCCGCCGTGCGCCGGCTTCAACTACGTCCCCTCCTGCTGTCGCCAGATTCAACTACGCCCCTCCCTTCGCCCTTCCGTCGCCGGCCTCAACTCCCCCGCCCACCGCCGGCTTCAACTGCCTTTTCCCGCCGGCCTCAACTCCCCCGCCCACCGCCGGCTCCAACTACCTCTTCCCGCCGGCCTTAACTCTCCCGTCCACCGCCGGCTTCAACTGCCTCTTCCCGCCGGCCTCAACTCCCCCGCCCACCGCCGGCTCCAACTGCCTCTTCCTGCCGGCCTCAACTCCCCTGCCCACCGCCGGCTCCAACTGCCTCTTCCCGCCGGCCTCAACTCCCCTGCCCGCCGCCGGCTCCAACTGCCTCTTCCCGCCGGCCTCAACTCCCCTGCCCGCCGCCGGCTTCAACTGCCTCTTCCCGCCGACCTCAACTCCCCTTCCCCGTCGCCCGCCTCCGCCGCCGCAGGAAATTATTATTTCCCGCGCTGGCTAAGCATAAAGGAAGTGGGAACTCTGTGTCAGGTGACGCTGGCTTTTTGGGTGTCTGGGGCATCGACTCGCGTTCTCTGCAGTCTTCCCGGGAGACGCTGGTGTTCAGCCGTGCAAATAGCGCGGCACAGCGAAAATATACTGAAGCCGTGGTGTCGGCGGGGAGTGACCTGGCTTGCGCTCGCCGTTATGGGCAGGTTTATTGTCTTTGCCCATCTCTTTGAGAGATGTCACGGAGTGCGCCACAGGCTCGACCCAAAGGTCTGGGGGATCTCACAGGAGCGTAAAACGTTCGGAAGTGGCCTAAGCGGTGGTTACGACGCTCGGCGGATTTCTTGTTTGGAACTTCTGTGCGCTGTTGTGCTTTAGCGACCTGCGGGTTATGGCATGGTGGGGCCTATCTTGCGCGTAGTAGTCTCTTAAGCCGATTGGATAGCCACAACTCGGCATTTCGATTGCATGGCATAATTAGCTCGATGTGCCCCCGTGTGGAGAGCTTCACAACGGTGCGTGTCTCACGGGGTGTGGTAAGCGGCGTAACCTTCTCAAGGAGCAGCTGGTTGTGCACACGGAGTGCCGGCCGATATAGTAATTATCAGTTTGTGAAATCGGACACGCCTTCCGTCATCTGCGTTCCAGCGTTCCGTGCAGTGTGTGGACGCCGTGTGTATGCATGGGGATGGGTGGGCGTGCGCGGCCGTTTACCGGCTGTGGTGCACGTTTTCTCACGGCCGCCGAGTCTACGTGACCCTCTCTCCAAAGCTGCGCATTGGCCTGCGGCGACGGCGGTACGTCCAGCGCCCCGCCGCCTTCCCCGCGACTGCACGCCCTCCACTGTTTGTATCGCAGTGCCTGTGGAC